CCCTGCCTCCGAGGCTGGGCCAGGTGAGTGGGACGATCCCTCTCTGCGCCCCCTGCTACTGGGTGAGTGGGGCCCCAGTTGGGCCAGGAAGGGTTGGAGCCTGGGCACCTTGCCCAGGCATGTGGGGGGCTCCTACTGCTGCATGCACCCCAGTGGAGGCCCGGAAGCCACGTGCCCCCTGATATGTGCCCGGGGCTTTGCACCCCAAGCCCTGAGTGACCTGCTGGGTGGGGGGAGAAAGGGTGGGTAGGCACACAGTAGAACCTGGACTGGCCTTTTTCTTCAAAAAGTGACCTTCACCTAAAGAGGTTGGAGACCACTGCACTACAGGCTTCTTGATCAATCAACTGGTATATAGGCCTCCTATTTAATGGCCAAGCCTCGGCTAACTGTGCCCACTGAACTCTACCTGTTCTACAAAGGGTCCTGTGATTCTTCTCTTTGTTACAGGAGCATACTATTTCTTTAAGGATTCTTTTCAACTCATCTTTAAAAAGAAGCAGTCCTGTCTAATTTCCATTAAACTAGTTTACTTGGTTTAACTATTACTTTTGCTCTCCTTTAAGATCTTTTGTTGGTTATTGGTTAAGATACAGTATATGGCCAACATTCAAAAATAGAGGTCCAGGCCTCCCAAAATAATTTGTTTGGCTAAAAAAATCCTTTAACATAATTTTTTCCCTTCTGGTTTCTGAAGCATCAGAATGCACGTAGATAGTGGTCTCAAACTTTCTTTCCCACAACTAGGATGGCTACAAATCTTTAAAAAAATAAAGCTAACAATCTTACATACTATGCTTATTTTAGTAGATAGGGTTTTAAAACAGAGATAAAATATTGAAAGACTTAGAAAAACTGGAGGTAGATCAGACATCTCTGCTAATGATTTCTGTTCAAATTCCATCTTACTTTCCTATCCAATTACTCTTGGCCTTTCAGGGTCTATCAGCTCCCAGAGGCCACACCACTGACTTAATCCTCTCAAACACACCACATAAGCTTGAATGCCTACGTTTTCTTCTGTTTACTTCTACTG